TATCAAACTACTTCATATGTAAAAAATTATTTGTAATCAGAGGAAATCATATGAAATCATGTAATCTGCGGGACAATATTTCAGCTAGTGGTTACCTCCTCGTCTTGGATTGCTAAAAACGACGTCCACCGTCGGGTTTCCCAACTAATTAAGGTTTATCTCTTGTTTACCCTTCGGCTACGACGGGCGATTGTAGTCCCTTGTCATAAAATTTCATACATTTATTCTGCTAATAAGCATAAAATTTGTTATAAAAGAGTTTTTAGGATTCGCTGATTTCGAATTTAACATTAAAATTTCAAAAAACAAAATGGTAGATTCAATATAGTCGAGTAATATTTGTTACAAATCCCGGCAAAAATTTTTCTAATAATTTTTCATAAAATTTCTCATAATTTCTTATAATTTTTTAAAATTTCTCTTAATTTTTCATATAATATGTCATATTTACTGATAGAATGATTGCTTTCTCATAAATACTAATAAATACTCAACAATTGCAATGAGAAAATATGGCTTTTTCTATATATTTTGTTATCATTTGTAAGATTTTTTCTTTTCAAATATGTCGTACTTTTTGTAAAACTGTATAACACCGATGACCTTACCGATTTCAATGACTTTAACATATGTTGTCGGGGACATATGACTTTGAGTGATCTCCAACAGATTTTAACCGTCGCTCATTATTCGTTAAAAAGTTATTAGCAAAAAAGTTTAAAAATAACGTCTGTTTTTTGCTATATGTATAAAACAAAAATTCTCTGCTTTCAAATAAATTTTCTTTAAAAACAAAAATTTTCTTTGAAAACATTATTTTCTTATATAATGTTTGTTTTTAAAGGGGAGGGCCCCATTTGCCTACAAATTGATTGCCTACAGCACCTTTTGCCTACATCTCATTTGTCTATAAATCGATTGCCTACATGTGTTATTCCCTACAACTCGATTGCCTACATGCACTTTTGCGTACAAATAAAAATTTTAGAAACGGAGTTACTTTTGCCTACATGTATTATTGCCTATAAATATTATTGCCAACAGCTCTATTATCTATATGCACTTTTGCGCACAAATAAAAATTTTAGAAACAGAGTTATTTTTGCCTACATGTATTATTGCCTACAGCTCGATTGCCTACATGTATTATTGCCTACAGCTCAATTGCCTACATACATTATTGCCTACAGCTCAATTTTCCACACGAAATGAGGGCTACCTCACACCAACAAATGGTTTGATTAGGGTTGGATTTTTTTGGAAAAATATTCCAAGCGGACTGTCTACGCTGACATCCCACTGTTTACATGACAGATTTCCTAAAAATATAAATTATTTTCTTACTTAACTTTAATTTTATATTTGTGCGCCAAAGTGCTTGTAGGCAATCGAGCTGTAGGCAATAATATTAGGTGTACAACTTTGCTTCCGCCGTTTTTTATCCGAAATTGGAGGCTTTATTGTAAAAAACTGGTTATACATTTATGATTCAAAGTATTGTCCATCGCTGGCAATTACTTTCTCCCATCTTTCGGGCAGCGTACGAATCCCGCGTCGAAAAAACTGGTCATCTTTTGAGGCGATCCACGAATCGATCCAATTTTTTACTTCTTCATAAGACCGGAAGTGCTGGTCAGCCAGGTCGAGTGCCATTGATCGAAACAAGTGATAGTCAGAGGGAGCAACGTCTGGAGAATACGGCGGGTGGGGTAGGACTTCCCACTTCCAAGTATGTCTTGGCCACTTTCGCAACATGGGGTCGAGCATTGTCATGCTACAAAATCACTTTATCGTGTCTCTCGTTGCATTGCGGCCGTTTGTCTTTCAATGCTCGGCTCAAACGCATCAATTGCGTTCGATACCGATCGCC